TCGGATGCTTAGCGGGTGATAATTATAATCCTACTCTAATTATAAAATCTAATACGTTATTATATAAAAAAAAATGTTAGCCAATTTTAAACTTAAAAAGTAAATCATTGATTAATTTTTTATTCCAAACTATAGCAATAATAATAATAATAAAATAATAATCATGAACTTACTTTTTTTTTTAATGGAATCATGAACTTATTTCGGTACTACATAATTGGGAATTGAGGGAGGTTTTATATTTTTTAAAATAAAATTAAAGAATTTTTAGAAAGATTTATTTTTTTTAGAAATATACCGTACATACATAGTATAGTATACTAGTATATAAGACAATTGTGAATTTTTTTTATACATATACGGATGGACTGCGGATCGGGTGATAAACGGATGACGGATCGGGTGACGGATGAAACGGAGCTCCACCCGAATCCGACCCGATCCGTCACCCACTTCATCCGTCACCGGCCCTTCATCCATTTAATGCGGATTTTTGTCCATTTATTTATTTCGGGTAAATCGGATTTGCGGATATCCATTTAGAATTGCCATCCCTAGATGGGCGATCCCAAAAGGGCAACGGTGCACATGATAATGTCGTTTGTGAGCTTTATGTAGCAATATCAGAAACCACAAGAAATAAAAAAGACGACACTTTATTAACATATTAACTTGAATTGGTATTTTAGAGCAACCAATACCATATAAAAAACATTACATTATACATCAAATATTAATTAAAAAAAAAAGTCCGTATTCTTTGAATGTTTAATACGCCTCTGAAAACTCACAAAGATGGTTTAATGGGCCGGGGAGACAGTGAGTGTCCCTTTGATGACAACCATTACACGCCGAATTTGCCCACACGAGTGTCTATATACCTTATCTTTTTCTCCTTGTTTCGTTTTGTATCTTTGCATTTTTATCTATGTTTTAAGCTGTTTGTTACTTAAAACCAATGCAATAATACGCTTCAAATTCTCTTGATAGGTTTGCCACTCTTTTAAAGGTATACTATCTCCGTCTCAAAATATCTTTTTAAATGATATACTTCCTCCGTTCTTTTTTTATCGCACCATGAGGAATTTCACGCTTGTCAATGCATTACTTTAGCTATTAATATCTTCAATTATACTTTTGTAAAAATTATAAAAATTTGATATTTGAAAGAATGATTTTGAGACAAATCTAACTAGATCCCACATGACTATATTTTTACTAATGGATAAATCACAAATGTTATTCGAAAACGATTAAGTGAATAGTGTAAAAGTCCTAATGGTGCAATAAAATAAAAACGGAAGAAGTATATAGGTATAAGGGTTTGTTCTCATTGACTGAACTCAACTGAGCTGAACTGAACTGAACTGAATATTTTATAAGAGAAGAAAATTAGGAACTGAATTGAACTGAACTGAATTGAAAATAAACGTATGAGAACATGCCCTATGTCCGTATAACCAAGTCAATTATTTAGCTAGTTTTGAAATTAAAATTTATAATTAGCCGTTTTGATAATTTTTTTTTATCAAATTAGCTATTTTGGTAAAAGATACTTTATATTTTAAAATTTGTTATACAAGGTTGTGTGGCTCTCACATAAAATCATATTGACCGATTCATGCATGTACAATATGTAGTCCAATCGATATAGCCAATCTCGTACATGATCAGTAGGTCACCCAAATGTTGAACATGTTTCCAAAATAAAACATGATCCGTAATTCATAATCCCAATGCTAAAAAGTACAAATTACAACGTAGATTAGGCTAAGCTTATTGATTATTTTAACTTATTGATAAAAAGAGGGACAAGGATAAAGGAAAAGGGTTAACTTTTGCTTGGTAACCGAGATTAATGTGATCTCTTGTTGGTTTATATTATAGCACATATTTTGGACACTTAAACTTAAATTACTGATATGATTCTTCTAATTAATCTTGCCTCTCTTTAGGATTAGGCTAGGGGACCTGAACTTTGATCAGATCACATGAAAATAGGAAATTTAGGATAGAGTTTAAGGTTTGGAATAAAGAATGTAATACTATGGTCGGTTTATCTAAATACATGTCAAAGGAACAAGAATTCAGGATATAGTTAAATGTATCCCTCCTTTTGTTTTATGGACATTGTGCAATGATTAGTTTTGTTCATCATGTTCTTGTTTTTCAGTCTTATCTTTCCTAATTTAGCTATTAATGAACAAAGATATATTTATTCTACATGTAGCACTAGGCACGTATACAAAATTGAGGTTTTGTATGATAATTTAATTGTTGGTTTGTCTAATATATGCCAAAATTTATTATTAGGCAATTAACATTTGATTCCATCAAATGGTTCACTTAACCTATTTGATCTATCGATAAATTTAATTGTTTATAAATAAATTACTCCGTAATTGGGTAAACCATACTTGTATTAAGTAGGTACTTGCTAAACGTTACATACCGCACTATATATTAGTATGTGTTTAGGTAAGGGCCTTGTAATTTTATTTGATACCCTATGATGATCCGATCCAATCAAATAATAAGATATGAACATACATCAACAATGTAGGAGATAAGTAGTGATTATCCGTCGTAATTGCCATATGATTTTAAGGTATATGCTTCATTCGATTTTGTGATGTCGACTTGATCTCCTTTTATGATGGGTATGTATGACCCGCATGGCATATATGCCCATATGCCATATCCCATATGTATGTTATTATTGGATCCCTATAAATATGTAAGGGTATCCGGACACAAAAACAAATAGGTGCCTACATTGCAGCGCAGTTAGAACAGTTGGAAATTGAGAATAATATTAACGATTACCAATACAAATTTGTAGAATCTTGTCACATTCTTAGATTTTCAATGCGATATTTGAAGAATAATCAGCCATTCTCGTATACCAACCAAATAAAATAAGACAAATTCAGTGGACTACTGAATATTGATTCATGCATCCCTTTTATTTGACGTTTAGTTTAATTAATTTCTCATTCTAATAGCCAATTTACAATGCTAAAATGACAAATTAAAGCATCTTAAAGTTCTTTTACGAGATAGACTATTTAATTTTAGTAGTTAAAGATCTTTTCTGTGATTTGGTTTTCTTAAACAGATCACCATGTGCTGCTTTGGTTCATCTATCAAGTCTTGAATCTTATGTTATGTTTGCTTCAAATTTACATTTTGTACAGCTAATTTTTGCTGGTTAGAAGAATCTAGTACTACTTTCACTATTAATTGGAAGTGTTCCCTTGGATTAAGCAAATGAAATCTGTTAATTTTATTTTGTACATTTTAATACTCACTAGTCTATCTAATTAAGCTAATAATCTAAGAGTAAGACTGTTTTGCATGTTCGCTATCCAACACCTAATACAATAAGGTCCGTAACCTCGCTCTAACCAAGCTCAATAATCTAAGAGTAAGACCGTTTTGTATGTGTTCGCTATTTATAACACATAATATAGTAAGGTCTTGTTTTTCTAAGCTGCTGTGGTCTGCTCTGGTGAGTATAAATAAGATTCTCCTAGAAGCTTAAAAGAACACCTCTAACCCTACATCAATTTTTACTTGAGGAAATACTTCACTTATTCAAAATTTCTAAGGGCTATTATGTTACGAGTACTATATTTTATAAAGCGTGTTTGTTGTTATTATAAATCTCATCATCATTTAACTTGATCTTCAACATATACTACGTTGGGATGTCTGATAACTGATGATTAACTTGTTTGATCGATGAACTCGCTCTTATATTATTGGAGGGAGGGCAAAGCCAAAGAGGAAACGCCAAAGGGAAAACCTCAACTAACTCAGTGAGTCTAATTAAGGTTAATAGAACTTATTGTCCTCCCTCCTCTAATGAGTCTGATTCTAGAATGAAGAAAAGAAAAGTTCAATATTTGTTAATTAATTACGTCAAAGAAATGATTCTAATTACAAACTATAAAATGAAAATATTAGAGAAAATGGTATTTTTCAAGATATAATTAGTAACACTAATATAATTACTGTATTACTTTAACAATCAGAAGTATGATACAAGTATTTGAGATAATTTGGGGAAGAATCAAAGTAGAGGTTTGGTTTTATGCAACAACCCAAAAATGGAGATGCATCATTTGTGAAGTATGAATTGGACCTTGCCCACGTTCTTTAAAGTTGGGCCGTGTAACTTTATTAGCCACGAACGTGTAGTTTGCACCATCACTGGTCTACTTCAATATATAGTCCAGCCCAAATTGATGACTCATGGAGAATTTTTTGGGTAAAAAGGTTTAGGCTACTTTAAGCTATCACCCACTTTAAAGCAATCAATAACAATTTATGTACACTGAATAAATTAATATTACTTCGTATATTTTAGCTCACTTGAGTCACTTCACTAGCTTATCTCTCCATTTTTTTTCAAATTGAATTAAATAAATAAATAAAAATTACGTATAAAATTAAAACCCTCACTCCACTTCAACCATACTCAATGGTTGAACAAGCCATCAATGCGTAATAAGGGATTAAGGGGTGATAAGTCGATAGTGTTATTTAATATAGATTATTGTAGGATCAATGTGTAGAGTTTTTCCTCCATAATAATGGCCAAACATTGAATTAGGGCATGTTCTCATACGTTGAAATTTAGTTCAGTTCAGTTCAGCTCCTAATTTTCTTCTTTTATAAAATATTCATTTCAATTCAGTTCAGCTCAGTTGGACATTACTCATATTCGTCTATAGCCATAATGCACACCATATTCACAAGATCACCCTATTATGTTCACCCTGTTTCTACTTATTCTAAATCTCTTAAGTTCAGCAAAACGCATATAAGATAAATTTAGGAGAAATAAGTTAAGGTTTAACCAACTTTTAATTACAGCTAAAATAAGTTCAATTCTTACCTAATATGCAATGTAGAGTATGATTCCTTACCCTTTCTCTAGTCTTTATAAACTTCGTCCATAAAATAGACCAGATTAACTCATGAGGGAATTTAGCACAAGAATCCAAGTTTCTCAAATTAAGGCCCAATCCAATATCGATATAGTCCGTATCACACAGTATCATTTAAATCAAACAACACAATTCTACTATTTCCCCCAAATCCAAATTCTTTTTCTCTCCACAACAATCACCAATGTCAACCATTTCCACCAACCAAACCACCAAAATCTTCGTCTATGGAACCCTCAAACGAGGCTTCCCAAACCACCATCTTTTAGAAGAACTTACCTCCTCAAACGACGCCGTTTTCCTAGGATGTTACAAAACCCTCAATTTATACCCTCTAGTATGCGGGCCCTTGGGTATCCCCTTCTTGATCAACATTCCCGGGTCGGGTCACCGGGTCATCGGAGAGCTCTACTCGGTATCGGGCCCGGGCCTGGCCCGGTTGGACGAGCTTGAAGGGATCAGTCGTGGACACTACGAGCGGCTTCCTATGGAGGTGGTGACGGATGAGGAAGGTGACCCGCGGGTGACGGGAGCAGAGGGGTATTTTGGGCATCGTAGTTTTGGGGAGGAATTGTGGAATAAAAATGGGAAAGTGGGAATGGAGGAATATTTGGATAAATTAGGGGAGAAATATGTTAGGGTTAAGGATCGAGATGTTGGGTTGAATTTGAAGGATTATATTCTTGAATATCTTCAATCTCATGATCATCAACCATCTAATTGATTTGCATGAGTTATGCAAAAATTAATTGTAATTATTATTATAATTATCTTAATTAATTATGCAGTAAAGTTTAATCTTATTTCCTGTCAAGAAGTTTTTAAAGTATACGAGTACTCTTTAATTAATTATTAACCTGGGTATGTGACGACTCAATCTTGATGAGGGAATTGGTATAATTCTATCAATACAATGTTGATACAAATGAATAAACATTAACTTGATAACGAATTATAACTAAAATCTTCTAATTAATTCGACGGGACAAAGTTGTTTATCATCGTCACTTACGTTCTTATTGTTATGTATTTGTTGTACATTTTCATTTATTAGGTTTATTATGTTTCAAGTTTCAAGTGAGTAGTACTAGCTCTTAATTTAACAGTCTTATGAAGGGTTTACTTTTACCTAGTGAAGTTAATTGCAACAAAAGAATATTTTATATCTCCCAAATAATACCCATTTGTTGCAATTAATCATTAACGGAAGAAGTATGTTTAACAAGTCTCAGTTCTAGCACTTGTTTAACTTGATAACTATCAATACAATGTTGATAAAAATTCAACAATAGTGGAGCATTCAACCCCAAAAAAGCAACCCTCTCACTGTTATTATGCAAGCCCCAAAATCAAGGAGTATCAATAATCCATTACCTCTCTTAAAATGAGTGAACAAATCATATTTATGAACCTAGATTACTCAATACTCACGGAAAAACATGCATACCCCAAAGTCAAAGAGTATCAAATTACCTCCCTTTAATTATGCATGTCTATCAATTAGCTTCCAACTTTGTAGAGTATCAATAAGCAAACGGTTAGTGAAGAAATGGTGATAATCAAATTCAACTCATTGATATTTAATTAAGGCAATCAACCAAATTTGAGTTTTGATCTTTTGAAGCAAAATCGATGAGCCTAGACTTGGAGTCGTACTATAGGAATAAGTGAATAACTCTAACAGGCGTGCTATTAGAAGTGGAACATTGCCAAAAACGTGTTACATCACTGGAGAATGTGGTAAAGAATTCGAGGGGCAGAAATAGTGGCTTGCAAGCTGAGTTGGGAAAGTCATTAGAGGGACAAGTTACAAGTGATCACAAAAGATGTAATTCGGGTATTTAGATAAGGTCTATTCCTGGGGTTGATGCAGTGGCGCCTTCTGATGTGAGAACTAGGAGTGGTCCTGGTTCCACCTCAGGGAATGATGATGAGTCCAAGGGACCGGCCACAATAGCTACTAGAGATGGGTTATCTGCTTAATACAGATAGAACCAAGGAAATTACAAAATCAGATGGATTGCAAGATGCAAAGGTGAAGAATGCTTGTACTTCCCAAGATGACATAAGTTGTAGCTCAGGTGTGCAGGTTAGGTCTATTCCTTCAGTTACCCTTCATCAAAGACCATGGGCCCTTTTGCTTTCATTCCAACTGCCATGGGCCCCTTTGCTCTCATCCCCATTGCCATGAGCCCCGAGCAGGAGATTCCCTTGGACAGAAGCTCTCAAGGTTCAACATTTTTGTTAGAAGTTAATCTAGAAAAATCTAGATGGATAATCTATTGAGTAGTTTAGAAAAATCTAGAATAGGATAGAAAAATCAAGCAAAGGTTTGTATCTAGAAATATCTTATAAAAATATCAAAATTTAGATACAAGTAATATGATATAAGTGTAGAAAAATCTAGAATGTGGGAAACACCACTATAAATATGTTATGTGTGCCTGAATAAGGAGGGAGCTAATCAACATTTAGTATTATATACTCTTGGATCATGGTACTCCCTAGCCAATACACTTGAGTTAATTTGCTTAATTCTTAGGTTATTAAGTTTAAAACCTTGTGTCCGTTCAAAAAAAAAAAAAAAAGTTTAAAACTTTGTGTTATTTTGCTAAAATAATATGTCATTCACTTATTTACTTCAACCTCATCCATAAAAAAACATGTACTTTATCTAAAAAATTATATATATATATATATATATATATAATAACATATGTATAAATTGATTTAATAAGAAATTCACATCAAAATACACATTAATTTTATAAATGCATAGTACAACGAAAAGATCAATGTTGAAAAAAAACAATATACAAATATAAAATAACATATACTTATTTTAAAAATTACATGTATAGCATATAATTTGTCCCAATCAAAAGAGCCATTTGCTCTCATTCCCACTGCCATGAGCCCCTATGCTCTCATCCCATTGCCATGAGCCCCGAGCAGAATATCCCCTTGGACAGAAGCCCTCAAAGTTTAACATACTCGACTCAATTGTTTGTTAGAATTTAATCAATATAGAGGGGAAATCTAGTGAGTAATCTAGAAAAATATAGAATAAGATAGAAAAATCAAGAGAAGGTTTGTATCTAGAAATATCTGAAAAATTTAGATACAATTAATATGATATAAGTGTAGAAAAATGTAGAAGGTGGGAAACACCACTATAAATATGTTATGTGTGTCTCAGTAAAGAGAGAGTTAATCAACAATTAGTATTATACTATTATAGCACCCGTGCGATTAGAGGTGGTTATTGGACAGGGTAGCCCAATGATAATAGGGTCAAGGCCAATCTTATAGGGCTTTTAATGGACAAGGCTATTAATGGACAGAGCCCTTATTGGGTAGGGTCAATATAGGGTCAACATGTTTTTCTAATTTAGTTGATAAAGAAAATACATAATGTAAAAATAATTATATAGATTAATTTGTATTCATATGTATTTAATAATGGTTTGTCCAATATTTATTTTAATTGATATTTTGTAGGCCAGCCCATTATCGACCCGCAGCCCGCATTGTCCCGACCCTATATTGACCCTGTAAAATATGACCCTCTTTGATCCCGACCCGCACCGACCCTGACCCGACCCGCCCAATAACCAGTTCTACGTGCGATACACGAGTTATTAATAATTTTCATTTCTATCTCGCATAAAACCTTAAATTAATTGAATAATAGGTTAGTTCCCGTGCCATGCACGATAGTTTTCAATATTATTATTGAACTATCTTGTAATTAGTTTTTTATAAACAAAAAAATTTAAATTTTAAAATTAGACAAATTTAGATCAAAGTGAATGATTATGAAAGAAATTTTAAATATAAAATGATGTAAGAACTAAAGATTTTTTTTTTTTTAAAAAAAAAAAAAAAAAATCTTTAAGCTACATTATAAAGATTTGACATATATTTGCAATACATAATCGTATATAATAGATCGAACACCTAATTACTTAGCTTGTTACCTGATAGATATTATAGGATTACTATAATATTTGTCACACAGCTAGGATATACCATGGTTTGAAACAAACTCCCTAAGCTTGGTACCAACCTTTTGCAAATTTTCTGATCAACTTGGGTTTTGTCATTGCTAAAAGTGACAACTCTCTTTTTAATTTCCGGCAGGGTGATGATATGGCATATTTGCTTCTATATGTTGATGATATTATTCTAGCTACCTCGTCTGACAGGTTGCATACAGGGATCATCTTTCAGTTGTAAATTGAGTTTCCTATGTCTGACTTGGGGCCTCCGAGTTAATTTTTAGGGATTGCAGTAACCCGTACTCCCTCTTATTTGCTACTTTCACAGGAAAAGTATGCAGAAGAGATTTTAGAGCGTGCATGTATGGCCTCTTGTAAACCTGCAGCCACTCCAGTTGACACTAAGTCCAAGCTTAGTGCAGATGCAGGACCACCTTTTCGGGATCCTAATTTGTATCGCAGTTTAGCAGGTGCTCTTCAATATCTCACTATCACCATGCCAGATAATGCCTATGCGGTACAAAAGGTGTGTCTATTTATGCATGATCCACGGGAACCTCATTATGAGGCATTGAAACGCATTCAGCGTTATGTTACATTTATATCCGACTGTTTCTCATCGATTGATTACTTACACTGACTTTGACTGTGACTGGGGAGGTTGTCCCGATACCCGACGATCTACATTGGGCTATTGTTGTTTCCTTGGGACAACCTCGTGTCTTGGTCATCCAAGCGTCAGCATACTTTGTCTAAATCGAGTGTAGGATCAGAATATCAAGGCGTCGCAAATGTTTTCTCTGAGGCGTGTTGCAGCTCCATAATCTTTTACTTGAGTTACATTGTCCGCTGTGGTATTTTGCCACCACCGCCGTGCTAATCTGCCACCACCGCCGTGCTGTTCTGCCGCCACCACCCTGCTGTCCACCACCGCAATCTGAAGCAAAAATGGAAAAACAAAATAAAAATCAAAAATCAAAAAGCGAATGATCTAAAAACACGAAAGACCTAAAAAATTAGATAAAAAAATCGAACAATCTAATAAGGAAAGATCTAATTTAGATAAAAAAAAATTCAAAAACTTTAAAAAAAACTCAAAAACGAACCCAGAAATTAAAATCCAAAAAAAAAAACGAACCCAGAAATTTAGAACTATAAACGAAGCCTAACCAATTTAGAACTCAAAAACATCAAAAAAAAAAAAAATCATAAATCTAACTGATTCAAAGCAAAACATAATCCAACAACCCAGAATTTCATATAGAAGATGAAATTTGAAGAGGAAAAAAAACTAGATTAGAATTCTAACCATAAGAGGAGAGAGGAAGGGCTGCTCGATGGTGCTCGGCGTCAGTGGTCGGTGTGGGCTGCTCGGTGGTGCTCATTGTCGGTGATAAGAGGAGAGAGGAAAGGAGATGAGAAAGGAAGGAGGACGATAAGGGAAAAGGGAGAGAGGAGAGAGAAGTGAGGCATGACGGGGAAATTCAAATTAGTTGAGAAATGAGAGGAGAGAGAGACGTGCGGCGTGAGAAAGAGGGAAGAGAGGAGAGAGAGTGTGAGAAATAGGGGGTTTATTTTTTAGGGTTTTTTTAGCAAATTGGAAGCGGTTCACCCAAAACCGCTTCTTTTTTGTAATAAGTGGTTTTTTTCTTGGGAGTGTATTTTTGGGTTTTTGGAAGCGGAATTGGAAAACCACTTCCAATTTAGGGCTGCCAATTTATTTTATTCTACTAGTGTGGATATTCATTTTGTTCGAGAAAAGGTTGCTTTGGGACAAGTTCGGGTGTTGCATGTTCCTTCTAGATATCAGTTTGCGGACATTTGCACTAAAGGCCTACCACGAGAATTATTTCTGGATTTTAGGTCCAGTCATAGCGTACGCTGTCCTCCAGCTACGACTGCGGGGGGGTGATAGATATTATAGGATTACGCTAATATTTGTCGTAGAACAAGGATATATTTGTATTCTTATCATATTAGGTTTCCTAAGAAGATTAGGACTAGTCTTGTATCACTATATATATTAATCAATGGTACACACTCCAATCGGAGGAGTTTTCCCGAAATCTAACATTACCAAAAGTGAGTAAACTATAACGTTAATTAAGTATGATATTTAAATAAAAGATATCAAATAATGATACAATCAAGATGATACTAAGTAAATCGATCATGTAGATAGATTTCAACAACTTATGTTCATCTTTGTCATGCACTAAGCCACTAACTTCTAATTTTCTAAACTTCAATGATTTATGTATCATATTATAGAATCATAGAGCAACTAATTGACATGTGTCGCTCGTTTACTGCTCATATCACATTTATATAAGCCCCAAGTGGTCGTATCAGGTATAAGCATAGATGCTTATTATCTTCAAGTTTACAATTTATCAGCAAAAATCAAATTTTCTCCCTGTCGAATCTGGAATATAATCTGATTTTGCCTTGGATCAACATCTAATGCTGTTTTGCCGATTTGGAAAATAATTATTTAATGAACTGATTCCATTAACGTTGCATTAAGCTACAATTGATTCAATTCAACATACTGTATAAATAACAACTGTAAAATATACAAAAAATAACACGTTAAACCTCAAACCAGTTAAGAATAATGCTAGCATATACTCCAAAATTTTAATTTTTAAATTCACAATTGTATTGGAGATAAAATACACATAGTAGTATTTCTTGTACAATTGCATGATTAAATAAGCAAACACAATTCACATTTTAGTTACTACCTCTGTTAACTATTATTTGCAACAAAGAAATATTTTATATCTCACAAATAATACGAGTAATTAAAGGTATTTTGTACTACCTCTGTTAACTATTATTTGCAACAAAAGGGTATTATTTGTGAGATATAAAATATTTCTTTGTTGCAAATAATAGTTAACAGAGGTAGTACAAAATATCTTTAATTACTCGTATTATTATACATTTATAGTGTATATGACCTATTAATTACTCTGTTAGGGATGACCATGGAGATTAGAAGACCCATTACCTTTACAAAAATATTATATGCTGGACTAGTTTTAAAGTATGATATTATATGTCACGCAGTGATCGAATTTTAAATTCTAACCTAGCTAAGAGATTATAGATGGCTAGACTTCATTCTCGTGTGTTACATTCACTAGAATAACATAGACTTTTGATTACACATATATAATCCATTCATGAACCAAGAGGTCATATTATCATTAGAGGCGCAAAGTTTGGAAATGAAATCCCCTTATCCTCTATCCACTTTCAAGGATCATACTGTAATGACCGAGATCGACTATCTGTCGACATAAGAGAATAAGAGATCCAGGCCACCACGATTTGATCCGTATTTGTACAAAAATGAAAAATATAATCCATTTATGAGTTATGTGAGATTGTGACACAATTAAGATTAAGGACTCATGGTGCAGTGTATGTTGTGAACTTGTGATGAGTGAATGAGTGAGACCACTTACATAAAGTAGTAAAAAGATGCTATGTAACTTTCTTGAATTTGTGTTAAAAAAAAAAAAAAAAAAAAAAAAAAAAAAAAAAATTCTTGAATTGGCCTTTTCATGCTTTGAAGAGCCAAGTTTGTTAATCGCAAAAATTGTAAGAATAAATATCTGCTAATGCAGCAACATACATAAATAGACAACAAGAGTATAATTAATCATGTCATATTTTATTAATTAGGTGATATGTGACTTAGTAACAGTGCATTTGTTTTGTGCTTGCTTGCCTAAAGCATGAATTAAAAAGGAGCCCGCAAAGCAAGAAAAAGAGAAAATTTGATTTATATAATTCATAGAATTAGTCATTATCTCATGGATCATGACTAATTAAATACTTGGAATAAAGACTAAGACCTTAATATAATTAATTCTTTCATTAGGTTTATATGGGGTAATTAAGAACGAAGCAACGACATCGACAAAGCATGAGCGATTGCGTAACGTTAAGCTAATTTAATCAAAGCAGCTGATGATGTGTATTCCACAACCAATAAGCCATACTCAATACCAAGCAAAGCTTGGTCTAGTGGTAAGATTGTCACCTTCCAACTATGAGGTTAGGGGTAGGGGGTTCAATCCCCACTAGGGACACTTTGAGGGTGGGGATCCCTTACCCTTTTCCTCGCTCTCAAAATGTCTGACCCGTAAATAATGGACCAAAAAAACCGTGAGAATTGAGATACGATTAGGGTCTTTCTCCTTACTTTGGAGAAAAAAAAAAAAAAAACAACTCAATTCCACTCTATCTTAATATGGAATATATATAGGTAGGACGTGTGGGGTCTTACTTAGCTGGATACCACGACTCTATATCACTTTCTTATTTTTAAAATATGTCTATCTGTTTCTAAATACTCATGCATACATACTCTATAGTCATTTTCGACTTATAAGCTTAAGTTTTACTGTATAATACAAAACAATAATAATTTGTAATAAAACTTTACGAAGATATATACAAAGTATTGGAATCTATAATGTGTCTAACAATATGATTCAATGACTTCTATGATTAGATATAATTTATTACTTATGTATTTAATTAGTTGATTGTGATATTGCTTTAGCAAGATACTCCTATATAAAACTTTATTAAAGTTCAATATATTCGGTCTTCCATTAAAATAAACCTCTTATACCTCTATGATCACCTTTCTTTATGTCTATATAAAGAGGCACCCTAAGACTTAGCTTCAATTCTTATATGATCGCTCTTTCGCTAAGGTAACCAATTTATTTGCCTAAATTAAAGCATCATATTATGAAGCCATCAAAGTTCTCTTGTGACGCTTCCTTAGTTCACGAGTGGAAGAGTGTCATCGGAGAAGAGCTCAAGCATGTTCACGAGGTGGCTATGGTGTCCATGGTAAGAGATACTAATAAAGATATTAATAATAAACATCGCGTTCCTCCTCCATCATCTGCAAGACGAAAATTTAACATACATAATAACGAAGATCCAATTCGAGTAATTATGTTTTTAGGGCCTTGGAGTCACACTTAATTAGGTCCTTTAAACTAAAAACATAATATATTTGCGTACAATCTTATCTCATGAATCAATTATATATGGATCTTGAGATGAATTGAGTAATCTATCTCATGCTACTAGTTGGCTATGATGATATGATTAGCCTAAAATCGATGAGATTGATGTACAAATTCATGTAGCATGGTTTGCATGAGATCGAGGATGTTATGTATCGATCAAGATGAATGTATATACTCAGCTGATGTCGTACAATCCATGAAACTTATATGTATATCTTTTGGTTGCTTAGCTTAGCTTGAGTATGTACTACATGAACAAAAACTATCACTCGATCAAGTGAAGTTTGTTGATAAATAATGCAAAATGATATTTGAGCTATGATTTTGTACATGATTTATATATTGTTATTTGTACTTAGCTTTTACATACTTGGAACCTTTTTACTTTTCAATTTACATCAACAATTCGATCATTTTAGAGTAGAGATCTATATTATGAATAGGAATTCGGTTGATTTATCAAGAATTAAAGCTTGATAAACTAAAGAAACATGTATATCATAATTTGTAACAACAATTACTTCTTATAACAAAAACAAATCGATCATATATATGGCTAACTTGATGTTAATGAATAGGAGTATCATTTGAAGCTTAACTTAATTATTTTGTTTTTTCTTAAATAATAATAATAATAATAATAATAATAATAATAATAATAATAATAATAATAATAATAATAATAATAATAATAATAAAAGATTAGAAATACAAGAATTATAAATAGTTTACGATGATGGTATAAGGAAAAGCTCATCACTTCCTCTACTATAGTCACTCCTATGTCCCTCTTTAATTTCTCTTATCTTTTTGGATCTATTTTCATCTGGTGGGTTGGTGATGGGAAGTTTGAGCATTTTCAATAGGATAAGGTGGAGCCATATCCCTACACTGTTTTTTTTGGGTACTTATCAACTCTAGTCCAAGAAATAATGGAGAAATGTATCCATCAATTTAGCCATTTGTCCATTATGAATTTATGATCGAATATGATGCTCTAACTTATTCTATTTTGTACGGAGTAGTAAGTAATTATGTTCAAAAATATTGTTCAAAATTCTGATTTAATAAGTGTTTTCGAATTAAGTATTTAAGAGTTCTTTGTCCAATACATTAAGAGTACTATTTTGTCATATCTAAGAGATAATGAGATATGAGTTCGAGGAATCATAGGATCATCTATCAATGTTTTAGTATCATGTTATAGTGTTACTCGATACTATTCTTGGATGAGGTCATAAGTTAAGTTTTGAGTTATGCTTGAATGCTTGATTCAACTTACTAGTGAGATGGACTTCTATAAAAATAAGACGTTTAAAGTAATATAGAACTATAATTTTTTTAACAGACAAAATAAGAAATTTATTAATTTAGCATAGTTGGTCAAAGTAATATACTCCTCACTTTGGACATATGTTTTGTTATCTTCTATATCTAGGATATCCTTGTCTTTTACAGTTTTAT